GTTAACTATTGAAGTTAAATTAAAATAAATAGATGCCCTTTAAGAAGATTCTTGTATTTAGAAGAGAATCTTTAACCATTATTTCAAATAAGTTATTTTTTTTAAAAGTTATTCTAAATTCATTTTAATAAAATCATCTAATTCAATATTTAAATTTATAACTAATTATCAAAAAAAATTAAGTTATTCTTGTTGAATGATTAATGTCAACTACATGCATTTCAAATTTATATTTTTCCAAGCGAATCTTAATTTTTTTGTTGAGTAATACTATGTCTTATGTTATTACATTTAAACTACTATCTAATGTAGTATGACATTAATTGAATATTAGTGTGGATGGTAAAATTTGAGTTACAAGCCACGTGGCATTGAAACAAACCAAGCAAGGCCACGAGGCCGAGCTAGAACAGAGCAAGACCACCTAGTCGAGCTAGGACATCTCGGGAAAACAAATTGGACCATGAGTTAGTGTAACAACCCGACCCTCATATATGCTTGCGATGTATGTCCGTCCTTTATTCTGTGCTATTAAATGCCTCAGATGAAACCGTACAAGAAAATAAGTTCAAGTAACTATGTTGCAATGCCTTGTGGAATGAATTGTATCTGTTAGAAAAGAAATGTATCTGTTACTACTAGACCGATAGAGTAGAAATTGAGGGCCTTAGCGGCTTAATAAGTCAAAATTGTTCACATATTTGGAACCAACATAATTTTTAAGTAATATTAAGCACTTCTGTGAAATTTCAATTTTCGGATGTGTGAACGATTGATTTTCGTCTCATTCTCTCTTTATGGAAATATATGAGTGTTCTTGGTCATTGACAAGCTAAGGAAATATAACTCTAAACTTAGGAATTGAAGGGGTAGAGAGAGAAGGTCCTCAAGAAGGTTGAGATTTGGGCTTAAGGTATGTAAATGTTTGTCTAATTTTCATCCACAACCCTTCTTGTCATAATTTATGTGAAGATGTTTCTATAATCATGTACCTAAGAGTTGGGATTGTAGTGATGTGAGTATGAGAAGTAGTAAATTAGCAAGATGATCTTACCTTGCATGTTTTGGACTCAACTTGAAGTATCTATGAGAAACTTTACTCTATTTCTTCAATTGATTTGTTTGAATTCAAGTATGTGGCATGATTTATGTTATGAATTGAGATGTGAAAACAAGTAGGAACCTTGTGAATGGGAGTGAATTTAAGTTGTGGATTCATGATTTGATTTTTACTCAAATGAAATATGTAATTTGATCCTTGTTCACATGTATTCATATGCTTTGAGCTTATAAATTGGTAATATAAAGCTGGATTTTGAGGCCCTAAACATGTCTACAAGGGGAAGAAATTATGCAGAAATTTCAGACTTTTGGTGCAGAATCGCCGCACGTGCGGGGCCTAAGGCCGCACGTGCGGGAACCTCAGCCGCACGTGCGGGAGTCACTGCCGCACGTGCGGGAAAATGGCAAAATTCTGGACTTCAACACTGCAAAAAAAGCACGTGCGGGGCCTCAATGCCGCACGTGCGGGAGGTGTGCCGCACGTGCGGGAGATCCGTGCCGCACGTGCGGCTCAAGGCAGAAAAGTTGGGATGCTCCGTTTTGCGTGTTGGGTCCTCTAATGTTGTCAAAACCTGCAATTTATATTGTTTGAATGTTCGTTAATTTAATCAAAGTAAGTGAACCGAATGTTGATTTAACAAGGATAAAAAGGGACTAATGTGATTTTTCATGTGTGTAGGAAACGCCTCAAAAGGAAGTGCACCGACACAACACAGTGAGTGATAGTACTTCAATGTATCTCTACTCAGTATTTATTTTATTGACGTTGTGACCCTTGTTGAAAGTTTTATCACATTATGTATAGACGTTATATCTTGACATTACGAACTTCACTATCAAACTTGTGTTGGCATGAAATGATATATTTGCTATAAGTGATTCAAAT